TATAAATATTTTTTTATTAATGTCATGCCAGACATTTTTTTTTTACATTTATTACCCCCCCCACACCATAATTAATTTTATGAAAACGCTAGAAATTCGATCGAGTCTAGTTTAATGATTACAATAATTAAAAGCACAAGGCATTGAGGAATGCCAATCATGTTTTTTTTGTTTTTAATTGGACCCCCCTACTTGAAAATCAGCTCTGAATTGTAACATACAAAACTCAATAAAACAAAGATATTATTTAATTTCAAATGCTTTTATTTGCTTTTAGTTGTTTTTATGAATATGTAAAATATTTTCTGAAAGCAAAAAAATTTCGATGAAAAATGAATTTTTAATACAATTATTTGTTATTCTTAATTATAATAGATTTTTACATTTATTTTTTAAAAATATTATAAAATTAGTTAAATGCCGCATCAGGTTTCCTAAGTCTCCTTATGAGATAGATCTTTTTTTAGCGCGTTGTAAATTGTATCATCTTGACTAATCAGAAGATCCGCAGTAATTAAGAAATGTAGTTTTGTGTTTATAATCAGGCTGTAATTATAACGCAACCAGAATACAATTAAGTTGCGTTATTTCAGTTAAGCATTATTCTCCGCTGTTAAGGCCTTTACAAAAAAGTACAACAAAAATTTAGAACGCTGAAAGTATTCCTTAAAAATGACTAGGTAAATAATTTGTTCATTTAAATGTAAATTATTTCACTTTTCTCCTTCCGTAGAACAAATTAGCCTCACGGAATCCGTCAATATGTCATACATCACCTGTCAAGTGACGCGAAAGTTTATGAGCTGCTTTGTTTTATTTTCCATCTTTACGGCGCAAAAGCTAAGTTAAGCTTGGTTCAAAATATTTTAGACAAACATTATAATTTCAGGGTGAAAACTGCCAGCATAGGGATATAAAATGTATTCCGTAGTGAGCAAAGCTGAGATCTTAGAGACGATGTGAACAAGTAGGAGGATTATACTTAACATCAGGAAGGGGCAGCCTTACCCGTTCTTGGCATCAGTTTACGGTATAATTATTTACCCACTACCCCACGGAGTAAGATATGGCACAAGGCTGAGGTTTAAAGTGGGGGTATCCGAGTCTGTAGGCTCGGGCAAAAATTCCCTATACACCACATAAGAATGGATCCAGTTTCCCGAGATCCTCCTGATCAGAGGCCTTGCTGCTGGACGTAGTTTATCGTCTTACCCTGGATATGGATGTAGTTTATCGTCATACCGAGGACGGGCCACATGAAATGTAATATTCCAAAATTAAATGATTTGAAAATAAGTTAAAATTTTAAAACTGACCACATCTTTCTTGTATAAATAAATTCCGATCATTCATTTTTTTTTTTCTGAAATATTTTTTTTCAGTCATATTTTGCATTGTATGATCGTAGCGTTTCGTCGCACTTGATTCTCAAGTTAGGTTCGACGATCTTCTGGTATCTTCATTCTACAAGTTTTAAAAAATTTAGCTATAAAATGATCCGTCTCGTCATTTTTTTTTATTGGAATTTAATAATTTTCGAATAAGTTGGTCAATATTATGCTGAAACATTCCAAAGTGCATATTTTCTCCGGTTTATTTATTTTATATTATTTTTTTTTTATTTCTTCCGAGTATTTTCGTACTTCTCTGTAATAAACTAGAACCAATATACCAGACATAGGTGTAGATATGTACGCCAATCGCCCGGTTCAGGTTCCTCGCCAGTTTGTTCTTTCTTCATCAACGTTGTAATTAGGCAAGTCATTATTAATGAGCGTTTGTTTAATGTTTTCTTGTGCTTTGGGAAAAAAAAACATTGTATATCAGACTAAATGTTCTTTGGGAGATTGTAAATCTGACAAAAAAGTAAGTATATATATATATATGTATATATATGTTGACTTGGTAACTACAACATTATCAAGACGTCTTACACTTCATTTATCGGAGACAAGTTCTATCACACAACATTTAAAGAAACATTCCTGTCCACCTTCAACACACAGGAAAATAATTGTTGATAAAACAAAAATATTACAGTATCTGTCTATATTTCTGTGATGTGGTATTATGTACATTATTTACATTATTCGGACAATTGTCCTCATCTTTGTCGTCATATTTATTACAACGTTTCAGCCTTTCAGTATCTGTCTATAGATGAGCTATTACGTACACTATTTACATTATTCGGACTATTGTCCTCATCTTTGTCGCCATATTTATTACAGTGTTTCGGCACTTCAGTATCTGTCTATATTTCTGAAATGAGGTATTGTGTACATTATTTACATTATCGAACTATTTTCCTCATGTTTGTCATCATATTTATTACAACGTTTCGGCCTTTCCGTATCTGTCTATATTTCTGCGATGAGATATTATGTACACTATTTACATTATTCGGACGATTGTCCCCATCTTTGTCGCCATATTTATTACAATGTTTCAGCCTTTCAGTATCTGTCTATATTTCTAAGATGAGCTATTACGTACACTATTTACACTATTCGGACTATTGTCGCCATCTTTGTCGCCATATTTATTACGTTTCGGTCGTTATACGCTCCGGCCTTCTTCAGGTGGTTGGACACATGGCATAGTGGATAAAGGCGTTAGTTAGATCCAGTGACAGGACCGAAAGATTGTAAGTTCAATACCCGTTTAAGGCGGTCGAGAACTTGGAGAGAGGGATTAACAGGAGATAACTGATAACTGACATCTGTTAGACATGGCACGTGGAACTAGAACAGTCTACCCCAGTGAGCGAAATAAAGGGTTCAGTTTGACATTCTAATGATCTGAAGAAGGCCGGAGCGTACAACGGCCGAAACGTTGTAATAAATATGGCGAAAAAGATGAGGACAATAGTCCGATTAATGTAAATAGTGTACATAATACCTCATCTTACAAATATAGACAGATACTGAAGAAAGCCACAGCGTACAACGGCCGAAACGTTGTAAATGGTGACAAAGATGAGGGCAACAGTCCGAATAATGTAAATAATGCAGTATGTTTGACCATGAAAATAATAAACAAATATTCGCGTGAACCTCAATCAAAAGCAACCAACCAACACTGAACGGAATTTATTACGAGTTTAGTTACAATGTTTTAAAATGCATTAGACAATAATTTAATATCATTTGCATTTTTACTATCATCGGTTAGATCCCATATATTGTGGACGCTTGTTTACACTGGTTAACAAAACCTACGGCGCCTTGCATGGTGAATTTGTACTTAACATCAAGAAGCTAATTAGAGTACTAGAAAGGATTATTATAAAATAGACATAATATACTTATATTAGTCAATGAAACGAGGTGAATAAAATATGTTGCTAAAATAAATATATATATATATATATATATATATATATATATATATATTATATAATCATTTTAAAAAAAAATGATTCCTTCGCTACAAGAATACTTATGTTTCAAAAACAGGAGCCAAAAACCTAATATCAAGCGAAAATTTGAGGATGAAACATCGCTTGATACTTTAATTCAATTTAATTTGAATAATTATATTGAGGTTTTGGGCTCTTGTTTTTGAAACATAAGAACACTTATGAAGCGAGGGGATCTTTTTTTTAAAATAATCAAAATTTAAGCTCTAATTCAGTATGGAACACTGTTTTTTAAAAATAAAAACAAAAATACTAAAGAACCCAGGATTATTTACCTAACGTGTTCTTTCCTATTTTTCTACATATCGCCCCCCCCCACATATATATATATATATATATATATCTATATATCTATATATATATATATATGTGTGTGTGTGTTTGTATGTGTGTGTGTGTGTGTGTGTGTGTGTGTACTAATAGTAATATTCGTTTGGAAAAAAAAACTTAGATAGCTCAAATGGTAGATATGTCAAAACAACTCGGTACCCGATGAAAAATTGGAAATAAAAAAAAAAGAAACAAACTAAAAACATACGAAAAGGGCAAAATAAACCGTTCAGTGCTTTAAGTTTTTAGTCCAAAGAAAAAATGGCGAGTAGTAAGACTAAAACGTAGAGTTAGTGCTAAATACGCTAAGTAGAGAGGGAATAAATAAAATAAATCCTAAAGGGCCAGGAAAACCTACCTGGGTTTAAGCTAAACGGATCTTCTGGTTTAGCTGGCCAGCTTACCCTGAATATCCGTTTAGGTGAAACCTAGGTAGGTTTTACTGCCTCCTTAGGATATATATATATATATATATATATATATATATATATATATATATATATATATATATAATATTTTTATTAGATTATAATAAAAACATTTTACATCGCTATACAAAAGCGTTCATGTTTCAATACTATGATTGTACTTCCTCGGGTGATGTTAGAAAAAATTGTGATAAAAATGATTCATTAGTGAAATAAAAAAGAACAATCCTTACCCTTTTCGGAAGTTAAATTTATTATATTAAACATATTATAATAATATTTTCTTCTACTATATATTGAGCACTTTTTTCAAAAAAATGTAAATGCTACGAACTGTAGGTTTTTACGACATCTGTTCTTCCTATTATTTCTGTATATATATATATATATATATATATATATATATATATATATATATGTGTGTGTGTGTGTGTGTGTGTGTGCGTGTGTATGTATGTGTGTGTGTGCGTGTGTGTATTAGGAACATGTAGATGTTTCTAGCGCCCTACTCATTGAAAAATAGAGCCTGAATGCACAGCAGAAGAAAGAGTTCTTAATAAATCATCACTGGAATCTTTTGCATTTCAAAGTATCTACCTACATGAATTTGTATGCGTGTACACACGCCTATGGGCCCATGTTATTGATGCATCTATAATCATGTGCAAATCAATCGATCACTTAATGTACACATTAATTCGATCTTGCAGAGGCTGGAATTACCCATAAAGCAAGAAGTAAATCAGCACTTCGATCATCTGGTCCCGTGTAAATTTCGTTTTCCTAAGCCCGGATTAACCTCATCTGACCTTGCTGTATATTCAGCTCGGAAAACCGACATGTATGTCATTAAGACTCCGAGGAAGACGACAGGCGTAATGCCTTTTGTTTACACGAGGCGCAACTAAGAACCAGAACAAAAAATGCAACCATACAAACGTGAAATATTCATTAGTGCAAGGAAAAATTCCCATTAATAAAACTTTGTCTGATATGAATAATAATAATAATAATAATAATAATAATATATAGCTGGCTACTCGTCTTCTAATGCGGCTAGCCAGTCTCTTAGTCAGGCGCCTTTGTGTTTATTCAATACCCACAGAGCCCACCTGTGCTTTTTACTTCAACTATGCTGAGCAGAACTTAGTTACCGTTTCTGGGAAAGAGCGTGTTATCTAGCGTATCAACAATTTGAACAAGACCAGCACGCTCAAACTCTCGGCCACGATGACTTGCCCACAAAAGTTTCGTCTCCCTAATTTCACTCACAAGGCATGGGTCAACCCGTAGTATGTTTTTCAGGCAAAGGTGATGCACGCTGAGATCGACCCCTCCAGTTTGAAAAGATCAGGAAGTCTATTTCCTGAAAAATCAACCATGGTGGGATTCGAACGCGGTTCTCATGGTCAGAATACGATCGTTCTAACCACTTGACCACGTTCCAACAATAACGACAACAACAACAATAATAATAATAATAATAATAAGAAGAAGAAGAAGAAGAAGAGCTATATAAATCAAATTATACAAAAGTTGTTTTTTTAAATTACATGCTGATTTTAGAGGACATTTGACTGCTCGATATAAAAAAAAGGTTTCATAATTATTTACTCACATATAGTATTTTTTCACATTTCTGACGTTTTTATGTTTGAATGGATGGCTAAATAGAATAAGTAGTGAATTATTATCTTATAAATCCTATTTCCGGAATAGTTTTTATTGATTGGGCGTATCCGGAAATGATTCAGTCATTTGATATTTAATATTAACGAAAGAGAAGCCTACACAGAGAAATGGCGCCTTATTTCTCTTCAGCATAATCGCTTTTGGAACTCACAGACTATTTCCCAACATCCTTTCGACTTTTGAGAAAATCTGCAAACTCTTCTGAAGGGACACACATCAACAAATCTAATATATCGTGCAGAAAGTAATTCATACACAAAACAGCTTTTTACAGTGAGCTAAAGAATATAAAGCAAACACTTATTAATAATAGCTTTCCAAAGTATAAAGTTAATGAACTAATAAGATGCTTTCTTAGAAATCTCAATACTAAGCAAATAGTACATAATACTGCTTCTACCAATCTCAAACATATTAATCTCCTATATTGTAATCAAATGCATATTAATTATAAACAAGATGGATATATACTAAAAAAATTAGTAAATACTAATATATCTACAACAGATTCTAGCACAAAAATTAAGTTAATCATATACTACACTAAATCTAGTATATCCAACTTAATTATTCGCAATGATTCTTCTCCTCCAGTTAGCGATTTGCAAAAACCCATTGATTGTATCTCGAACGAATTAAATAATATTTATGTTGGTCACACCACAAACTCGCTTTCACGACGCTTGACACTAAACTTGAATGAAAACTTAAACATTTTTAGGCATTTAAAACAACATGCCTGGCCGTATACACAATTCCGGAAAATCCCTGTTGAAAACACAATTATACTTAAACATGTAAACAATAAACAAAAACTAAAAATTCTTTGAGCTATATACATAAAACAGTTGAAACCTAAGCTGAACAAAATAAACTATGAAATCTCCACAAATATTCTTAAATGTCTATAATTGGTAACAGAAATCATTGGTTTATACTAACAGCTTCCCATACATAATGCTTCTCGAATTCACTCACGCGTGGTCATGTGTGACGTCATGACGTGCGATTTTCGCCTCCAGCGTCTTATATGACCGTGTTTATCGTTGCTTGGAAATGATCTATGTAAACAGAAATAGACTATTATCACTTTCTTGTCCGTGTATTGTTTAATATATTGTACTGTAATTGTCATCTTTGATAATGGCTTATATAAGCTGAAAGCTTAGTTTGGATTAAAAAATATGTATCCATATTGTGATTTTCTTTCTTCGTTTAATGATAATGTTATTCAGCTTATCAGACCTTATGAAAAGAATTTACATAAAATAGAGAACACTTGTCTATATTATTTAATGAAACACGTATAAATTAAAAGATGCTGCCTAAATACACACAATTTAAATATATATATATATATATATATATATATATATATATATATATATAGATAGATAGATAGATAGATAGATAGATAGATAGATATCGTATATTTGGGCAGCATCTTTTCATTAAGAAATGCTATTAAATAATTTAAACAGGTGTGTTGCACTTATTTTTAATATCATCCTCACACATCCATGGACAAGCTTCTTAGTATCCTTATTAAAGGAAGAAAAGTTACCATATTGATGGATATTCCTTTATTCCGAGTACTTTCGACGTTAGCAAAATGTCATCTTCAGGGTCTTATTCTATCTAAGACAAATATGATGTGTTTATATGAAAATTATTTTTTTTATCTGTGAAGTGAAAACCGCTAAACTTATGTTATGTATGATTTTCATATTTTATGATGTAAGTATACTCGTGCAGTATGGTCAATGGAGGTAACGAAGTTATTAAGATATCTGTTTTTAAAAACTATGTAAAGTCATTAGTTAAATCCTTGTTATTTTAAACTATCTACTGTATACATTTTGAAAATTTTAAGTAGAATTCCTAATTAATTTTATTAGGGGTTGGTTTCATTTTTTTTAATATAGATAGCTTCAAGAATTTTTAGTTTATGATTATTATTTTCATGAATAAGTATAGATGTATTTCCAAAAATATTTTTTCTAAATTGCGAATGTGGATAGGCATGCTGTTGTAAATGTGTAGAAATGTTAGAGGTACCATTCAAATGAAAGCTCAATCTCCGAGACACCGTAGTTGTAGTGCGACCAACATAAATATTATTTTGTTCTGTTGGAGTTACAATCTCCCCAGTGACATTTAAATTTATATATAATGTTGGTTTTCTGCACCACGTTACTTGGTGGGGAGGAGACATTATGAATGATTAAATTGGATATATTGAATTTAGCATAGTATATAATTAATATCATTTTTTACTCGGATCTGTGATGAATATATTAGTAATTATTAGTTTTTTAGGATATTTTCCTTCTGTTTATAATGAGAATTCATTTGATTGCGATATAAAAGATTAACATGTTTAGAATTATTTGAAAAAGTATTATATTCTATTTGCTTTATATTAAAATTTTTAATAGAACATCTTATTTGTTCATCGATAATATAATTAAGTATGTCATTATTAATAAGAGTTTGTATATATTATTTTAGTTCAGAATAGAAAATCTGTTTCGTGAATGAATTAATCTTTGTACAGTTTATTAGAGGTTTTTTTTTATAGATGCTATTTCATAGTAATTCGGAAATTCACTCTTATAGAAAAGAGAGCACGCATTTATGTTAGTGTGTTTTTATATGGGGAGATAGTGAATTTATTATTGTTAGTGTTTATCAATCTATCTGGGAAAGTATTATTAAGTCCCTATGTAAATTTAAGGAGATAATTAATTTGGAATTGTTTTGCAGCTGATATATTTCATCTATATTCTTGACTAAAATAAGGATATCATCAACAGATGGAGGTTTTTTCTTTAAAACATTTATTAAATATATTATTTTCGAGACTAGACGTAGAAATCGCTAAAATTTGTGCCCAGAACTGAAGCCATAATAACACTATCCCTATTTTTTTGAAGCCATAATAACACTATCCCTATTATTTTTGAAGCCATAACAACACTATCACTATTATTTTTGTCTATCGTAGAATTGGACCTCAGTAGTACAAGTTAACAGTAGTTTCCATATTATTCTAGGTCTAATTTTAAGTAGAGGTAGAGATGGATTGTTGTATATGTTTCTTATAACAACATCAATAGTTTCACTAACAGCGACATTAGTGAATAAATTTTCGACGTCAAATGAGGCTATGGCTTCATTGTTAGATTTTTCATTTTTTAGAATTTGAATTATTTCAAGAGGTTAAGTTTTATGCGGGGAGATAGTTAATTTATTGTTGTTACTGTTTGTCAGTATATCTAGAAAAGGAATTTTGGTGCTAATTATTAAGTTCGTATGCAAATTTAATGACAGAATTATCGTGGAATTTTTGGTGGGGAATTCGGTATTAGTCACATAAGGATATCGTCGAAGTATCTTAATTAGATGGAGGTTTTTTTTTTAAATTGTTAAATATATAATTATTTTCGAGATTAGACAGATATAAATTGCTAAAAGTCGGACCGAGAAGTGAGCCCATGGAGACGCCATCCCGTTGTAAAATATATTATTTGTATGATCGTTTAATGGGACTTCTGAAGTACAATTTAGCAGTAGTTTCCATAATATACTAGGTTTAATTTTAAGTGGAGCTAGACACGTTTTATTGTATATGTTTCTTATAATAATATCAATAGTTTCGTTAACTAGGACATCTATATCTATAATTCTCAAAATGTGTGTATGTATGTGTGTGTGCTCGGAAGTTTATGCGTTTCCACAGGTTTCATCAGATTTCGATTTAAATGTTTTTGTTTGATAAATAATTCTTCAGTGCCGGTTTTGAGTCCAAATTGGCTGGAAAAAATTACAACCTTGAAAGTGAAAAATCGATTGCATATTCACTGGCCTTCTTAGTAACAAGTCTTTAAATAGTAATTAGGATAAGAAATCTTTTCTTTTTATGTGCTTTGTCTGTTTTATGACCTCCCCCAGTTCAGGTTCTGTCATCAAATTTCTTAAGCCCACCAGCTATGTCATGCAGTGCTTTCCCTTGTCTCTCCGTCATGGCTATGACGATAAACTCCATCCGCGTCCTGGGTATGATGTTCAACTACATCCGCGTCCTGGGTAAGACTATGAACTACATCCAGCAACAAGGCCTCTGATCAGGAGGCTTTGAAGAGCATGGAACCACCTCTTAATTTCTGGTGTTCTCAGGTCCACCCCGATCCGGGGTGGTATCACCTGTTAGAATCCCAGCTATGGGCAAATATTTAACACCCAAACTTTTGAAAAATAGGTTTTAATACCAGAAAAACTTGGTAATAAAATAAAAATTATTACCAGCATTAATTTTTGAAGGAAAATGTATTATCAGCAATGCTTTACAAAAAATACCAGCTATACAATACAATACAAACAGCTATGCATTCTTTGGAAAAAAATATGACCAGCTACAGATTTCTTCAAGGAGAAATATTCCCAGAAATAGATTTTTGAAGAAAAACATTACCAGCAATAAAAATCTTGTCGGCATTAAATAACCCATTGAGGTTGATATGCCGTAAAACAAACTAAACCAAACCAATATATACTGAGATAGATAGATAGATAGATAGATAGATAGATAGATAGATAGATAAAAACATTACTAACAATAAAAATATTGTCGGCGTTAAATAACCCATTGTGGTGTTAATATGCCGTAAAACAAATCAAATTTCATGTGGCGCAGGGCCAGAAGTGAGTGTGACTAAAAATAGTTAGTCGTCATTGACTACACCTAGTTAATCTGATTCAGGGTCCATTCATTCATTATAGTTTACTCATACATCACAAGAACTCATTTATCGCCATTCAATCTAACACATACCACATATTCACAAGGATCCTACTAGAACACCCATCATATGAAAATATATACAGTTTTTTTTTTTATGGGGGGTGGTTATTATAAAAATATAAATAATAAAAATTTTGTCGGAATTAAATAACCCATTGAGGTTGATATACCGTAAAACAAACCAAATCAAACTTCCCTTGTTTCTCTTTCCCTCTATTCGACCTGTGAGTATCAGATTCTCCCGGCCCATGTCCCAGAAACTTCAGCTGCCTTTTTCTGATGTTAATTAAAATCAATTAGTTGCCGTTAGAAGAAAGAAACACTATTTACACTATTTACATCGTTCAGACTGTTATCCTCATCTTTGTTGCGGCATTCGCGACGTTTCGGCCGTTGTACACTACGGCCTTCTAAAGGTGATTGGAATTTCGAACCGAGCCCTTTATTTCGTTCACCGGGATAGATTGTTCTAGTTCCACGTGCCATGGATCTTCCGGATGTCTCATTTATTTCCCTTTAACTCAACTTTTTAATTTTTTGGTTCATCACTGCTGTGGCCTGGTATCGAACTTGCAGCTCTTTAGGTCTAGTCAATGGATCAAACTAACTTCTTTAGCCACGTGGAACTAGAACAAAACAGTTGCCAGATGATCAAATTTCAGTGCTTAAATCGGACAAACTTAATGCGGCACTATGAAAGCAACTTGCTGTCACTTCATCTTTAGAGAAGCCAACGGCTGCACATGGTGTTAAAGCTCGCCGATAATACAATCATAATGTCAGCAGTCAGAAAATGATGAGGAAAAAAAGGCGAAGCACATCAAGAAATATATAATTATGATAGTATGAGAAATGATGATAATTCACCTCTATTTTCTAAGGATAATTATAAAGTTATTATTGATAGCAGCGAGAATTCCACAGTGTTTTTTTCTTTTTCTTTTCATATGATTCATGAATAGCAAACAAAGTTGCGACAAAACCTCATAAAAAGGGAACAGAGAATCCGGGTGAATGTCCTGAATTTCGTGCGTTTTCACATTACCTAAACAAACAACGCGGGAAAAATCCCCCTGGAAATCAGATAGTTTGTTAAGCCCTACTCACAACAAGAGCAATAATAATAATAATAATAATAATAATAATAATAATAAAGAAAACTAAATAAATGAACACGACTTTGGAGTTGAAAATAACGGACAGTTTGAATGTTTTCCATTTTGTTCTGTGGTAATGTTATTTCATGTTTTCTAATTTTTAGGAGAGAGAATTGAATCGTTGGTAGTTGTAGTGAATTTTAGATAGTGGATGGAATTGCCACGGGTCGCCATTTTTTTTTACATGAACATTGTCTTCAGTAGTAGAAATGTTGAGAGAAAGAAAGAAAGACGATAAGAGTGAGAAGGGAAAGCGAAAATCAGACCAAGAAAGGATCGAGGTGGTCAGGAGAAGTTAGAAGAAATAAGAGGCGACAAGGAAAGAAATGAGGAAAGAAGAAGGAAAGAAAGAAAGAAAGAAAGAAAGAAAGAAAGAAAGAAAGAAAGAAAGAAAGAAAGAAAAAAAAAAATGAAATGCAAAGAATATGAGGAAAAAAAGGAATAGAAAAAAGAAAGAAAGAGCAAGAAAGAATAAAGAAAATATGAACTGGAAAGGAACAGAAATATGAAGAAAGGAAGGAATAAAATGAAATAAAAAAGAAAGAAAGAAAGAACGAAAGAAAATATGAAATGCAAAGAATATGAGGAAAAGAAAAAATACAAGAAAGAAAGAAAGAATACAAGAAAGAAAGAAAGAATACAAGAAAGAAAGAAAGAAAGAACGAAAGAAAAAAGAAAAAGAAAGAAAATATGAAATGCGAAGAATATGAGGAAACGAAAGGAATAAAAGAAAGAAAGAAAGAAAGAAAGAAAGAGAAAGAATAAAAAATATATAAACTGCAAAGAACAGAAAATACGAGGAAAAGAAAAGAATCGAAGAAAGAAAGAAAGAAAGAAAAAAGAAAGAAAGAAAACATGAAATGCAAAGAATATGAGGAAAAGAAAGGAATAAAAGAAACAAAGAAAGAGAAAGAAAGAATAAAGAAAATGTGACCTGTAAAGAACAGAAAATACGAGGAAAAGAAAAGAATAAAAGGACGAAATTACGAAAGATAAAAAGAAAGAAAGAACGAAAAAAAGAAATAAAATATGAATGACAAAGAACAGAAAATAAGAGGAAAAGAAAAGAAAAGAAAAAAAAGAAAGAAAAAGTAAAAGAAAGTGAGAAAGATATACGCGTAAATGCAAGGAACAGCAAATAAAGGAATATAGGAAAAAGAACATGGGGGCAGAAGAACGAAAAACGAATGAATAAAAATATTCACACATTTAAAACAAACGATGGTAGAATATGATAAAGAAAAGAAAATTAACAAATTATGAATGAAAAAAGGAAAAATAAAACGGTAAAGAAATAATGTTTAGCGATGTAAAAATCAAAGAAAAAAGACAGAAAAAACAGACTGAATGAATAAAGAAAAGAGGGAAAAAGATGGAAACAGGAGAAACAAATGAAGAAAAAACAAACAATTTAATGTGAAGTGTCAATGAAATAGTAAAGAAGAAAGAAAGAAAGAAAAAAAGAAAGAATAGTGAATAAAAGAAGAGCTAAACGGAAGAAGAAAATGGTAAAGAAAGAAGGAGAGATTTGAGAGATTTGAGATATAAGCCAAAAAACGAAAAAACAAAAAAAAGATACGGGTAGGAATAAAAAACTAAAGACAACAAAAGAAGGAATAGACGAAGAAAAAAAAAAGAAAGAAAAAATGAAGGCAACAATGAAAAAGAAGAGAAACGAAAGAGAAAATATGAATTAAAGAAAAAAATGTAGATGACAAGAATAAAAAAAGAATGAAAATAAATGAATAACAATGAAATAAAGTAACATTATACAAATGAAAAAAAAAACATTTATAGATTAATTCATTTTCTACGGCTTATCAACCCTTTGCGGGTTATTTAAAGCCAGAAAATATTTTAGATTATAAGACATTTTTTCGGAGATAATAATAATTTAGTGATACAAGTTTTACTAATGAACTCATAGCTGGGAGTGAGAAGAGGGGTATGCATACATAATCAGAATTTGATGAATAAAAAATTATGGCGTGGATATAAAATGGATGATCAATTCTACATTACAAATAATATATAAACTGTTCCCTCGTTTTTGGCCACATTAGTTTATATATACTTTTATATACCATAGAATGTAAATATTGATTGATTGATTTCTACTGCCTATCAATCTTTTGCAGCTAGTTTAAAACCAGAAAATACTTTAGGCTGGTTTGTTTGGTTTGGTTTGGTTTGGTTTGTTTTACGGCATATCAATCTCAATGGGTTGCCGTCAAGATTTTTTATTGCTGGTAATTTTTTTTTTTAAATGTATTGCTGGTAATATTTTTTTCCAAAAATGTATCGATGGTAATATTTTTTTCCAAAAATGTATTGCTGGTAATATTTTTCTTCAAAAATGTATTGCTGGTAATATTTTTTTCAAAATTGTATTGATGGTAATATTTTTTTCCAAAAATGTATTGCTAGTAATATTTTTCTTCAAAAATCTATTGCTGGTAATATTTTTTTCAAAAATGTATTAATGGTAATATTTTTTTCTAAAAATGTATTGCTGGTAATATTTTTCTTCAAAAATGTATTGATGGTAATATTTTTTTCCAAATATGTATTGATGGTAATATTTTTTTCCAAAAATGTATTCCTGGTAATATTTTTCTTCAAAAATGTATTGATGGTAATATTTTTTTCCAAAAATGTACAGATGGTAATATTTTTTTCCAAAAATGTATTGCTGGTAATATTTTTCTTCAAAAATGTATTGCTGGTAATAATGTATTAAATGTAACTATTACATTTTTTACAAAATTAAAAACTATTTTTACACTTTCATAGTGATTTGACCCCATTATGGGGTTAACTATTTGCCCATAGCTGGGACCTTAAAAGGTTCCATTAACAAGGGTTGGGAACAACAGCAGTTAAGAGGTGGTTCTACGTTCCTCAAAGCCTCCTCCTGATCATAGGTCTTGCTGTTGGTTATATTTTATCATCATATCCAGGACGGGAAAATATTTTAGCTTCTAAGAGGTTTGGTTTGTTTTGTTTTACGGCATATCAACCTCAATGGGTCATTTATTGGCGACAACTTTTTTTTTCCTGGTAATATTTTTACTTTGTCAAAAATCTTTTTCTGTTAATACTTTTTCACAAAAATGTACAGTTGGTAATATTATTTTTTTCAAAAGCTTATAGCTGGTAATATTTTTCCAAAAACGTATAGCTGGCACCAATATTTTTCCAAAAACGTATAGATGGTAACATTATTTTTTCAAAAACGTATAGCTGGCAACATTATTTTTTCAAAAACGTATAGATGGTAACATTATTTTTCCAAAAACGTATAGATGGTAACATTATTTTTTCAAAAACGTATAGCTGGCAACATTATTTTTTTTCAAAAACGTATAGCTGGCAACATTATTTTTTCCAAAAACGTATTGCTGGCATGATTATTTTTTCTAAAACGTATAGCTAACAACAATATTTTTTCTAAAAACGTATAGCTAACAACAATATTTTTTCTAAAAACGTATAGCTGGTAACTTTATTTTTTCAAAAACGTATAACTGGCCACATTATTTTTTCAAAAACGTATTGCTGGCATGATTATTTTTTCTAAAACGTATAGCTGGCAACATTATTTTTTTTTCAAAAAACGTATAGCTTGTAGCATTATTTATTCAAAAACATTACCAGAGGCCTTGCTGTTGGACGTAGTTTATCGTCATATCCAGGACGCGGACGTAGTTTATCGTCATATCCAAGACGCTAGCTTGTAAGAATTTCTTTTGCTGTTAATACAAGTTTAGTGATACAAGTCCTATAGTTAAGCCATAGCTGGGAAGAAGTGGATTTTTACCATTCCCAAGGGTGTTTGTACGTAAAAGAATTTAATAAATCCAACTGGAATTGGAACTCAGCCCTCCGATTAACAATTCCAAGCGTATAGTTCCTGGTAATCCCAAGCGTCACCGATGTAAGTAGTGACCACTCTCGACATTGCTTAACTTCGATGATCGTACGACAACCGGTGTTTCAACGTGATATGGTCATAAGCTTGACAGTTTTATAGATGCCAACTAAGATTCAAACAATGGGAACCCATGTTGAAAGAAATGATTGAAAAACAATATAAAATATAGTATAAAACAATGAAAATGAAATATTTGAAACTCACTAGACAGAGAATGATAAATAATGGCGGGGAGAAAATAAATCACAATCGATATATATATATATATATATATATATATATATATATATATATATATATATATATATATGCGTGTGCATGTGTGCTGAGGGGGAGAAAATAATGTAGCAAACGTATAAAGAGAGCGTGCCAGCCCAGCCAACGAAAGAATGGTGAAAAACTATGAAAAAAAAGGCTTGATTTAATTCATCCTTTACGGCACCCCAAGGACTTCTAAATGGCTTTCATTGTCATGCAAGCTCGTCATATAGAAATGACTTTCATTATCATCGTCATCATCAACACTAGCGTCATTTACAGCCAATGTAATTACAGGTTGGAATAAATTCAAATCACCGAATATTACCAATGCATTTCGATGTCAGGTTATATTAATGAAATTGCTTTTCTTACTACTACGGGAAATCGATACACTTTGCCTCTGAAGTGAGATCGATCCTCCCGAGGGATTTAAACCCTGTATCCCGGCATGAGACGGAGATAATAAGCAGATATCTTTATTTTAACCGACTGCAGAGCGATACTTAGCAAATTAATATCGAAGACAACCGCAAGTGTGATTAGTTCAGTCGACAATCGACTCCCTTTGGCCTTGTACCCGACATAGCTAAACTTACTAAATACATCTAAACTAAACTTCTATGCGCCGTGACTGTTCAGGACGTTAACGATCATGTCTCTGCACAATTTCCCGTTCTTTGTATATTTTTATAACTTCTGTTTTTTTTTTACCGTCTCTCTCAAACCCTGGTCGGCCATCTATTCGCTCAACCCCGCTAAGTAGGCTGTGTTTAGTTTTCCTCTATTCCTCTTACCTTCAGTTTGTCTTGTGAGTATCAAATTTTTCAAAGCCTCTTTCCTCATTATGTGCCCCAGGTATTTCAATTGTCTCTTCAAGGCTGTTTTTCAAGTGGTCGTTTAATTGTAAATGTCTCTAGAACTTTCTCATTGCTCACATGATCGGTCCACAGTATTCTCAGTATCCATGTAAAACAACATTTCGGATGATTTAGCTCTCTTCTTCATCTGTGATGAGATTGTCCAGCATTATTGTACCATATAAGATAACGGATAATATAACATTTCTATACACTTTACTTTTTGCAACCATCGCTTCTATTCTAACAATATATTTTCTCGCACATCTCTCTTGTAAAAATCCCTTCCGATATCTTGCTTCCCTGTCACCTGCAATGTTCAAAAATGTAAATGAAACGTCAAACGCCATATTCCTGAACCATGTTCATTTAGTGACGCCACCTCACTTTTCTTTATTAAAGTCTTCACTTTATTTTTCATTCCTTCGTCTTAGCGGCATTTTTGCCTTGACTAGGTTGAAATAGGTAAATAAAATGATAGTCTGATAGACCGCGACTAGTAAGTTCAATCTTAAGTGGGTGACCTATACCTGCTCTTTTATTTTTATTTTTATTTTTTTGCGTCCCTGGGGAAGTGGAGAGCCATGATCGCCTACGTCCTGAAGCGATAGGAAACAGGAAATAGAAGAATTACTATAAAACAGTTCTGAATGACCATTAAGACTAATTAACTCTATTCCCACGAAGTGATCTATCCTTCCCCAAATTTGACCGGGTCTTTCTTTGGGAAAACAGCTATGTAAATAATATTACAGAGATGTTAGTCGATAAGGCAATAATAATCACACATAAACACAGTAAAAACAACCTGCAGATATTGGAGGCTGTCTGCATTAAAACAAAGAAACCCACACTCATCTTGAATTTACGACCTGCGTCTATTATTCCGCGACCGCAATCGTCGCATATCGATCTTCTATGTCAACATACCAAAATATTATCTTGGATGATGAATATCATTGTTAAAATGTCGGTAGAACCACTCTGAAGATGGTTCCTGACAGCCGAAAGCTTAGATCAAAGACCAAATTAATAAAAAAAAATATCAAACTGTTGGACAAATTGTGTCTTTATTTTCACCTGAAATTAAAGCAACCATACGAACATTAGGACGGCTCATGATCAGACATAATAGACATTCATTGTCTGTTATATTTAACAATATATATATATATATATTTCAATATATATATATATATATATATATATATATATATATATGAAGAAATATAGTTTTAAGCTGTCCTATAGTTATGGGATAACGTGCTCAATATCAGAGATAGAGCGTATGTAAATACAAATATAAAAGTGAACATTGAAGTCAACACTCAGAGGCGACAGGCTGTTTCATACTGGACGCTATAATCAACATGAAACAGCCTGTCGCCTCTGAGTGTTGACTTCAATGTTGTATATATATATATATATATATATATATATATATATATATATATATATATATAATAAAATATATATGTATGTGTATGTATATATATTTATATATTTTGCATATGTATGTGTATATTTACCACTAATATTATCTATCTATCTATCTATCTATCTATCTCTCTCTCTCTCTCTCTCTCTCTATATATATATATATATATATATATATATATATATATATATATATATATATATATATATATTATTATGGTATTTTCAGGGCGTTCGCAACTGAATGTGCCACAAAATCAGTTTTATGTGGCTTTCCCGGTAATACTGGTGAAAAATGGCTCAAGCCCCATCGACACATACCAGTTTTGGGACCCCTCCGAGGCCAGGTAATGACACTAGTCCGCTCTAGAACTAGAGGTACTGCTTGGCTGGATGCCTTCCCCTGAGGCTTGAGCTAATATTATTTTCAACTTCCCCGACAGAAACCAGGAAATATAATATATATATATATATATATATATATATATATATATATATATATATATATATATATATATATATATATATATATATATTATCATTTTGTTCACTTATATGCGTATCTATCTAAATATATGCCAAGAGATAAATACATATAATAAACAGAGTATAAAGGTAAACATCGTTATGGTGCGTTATTCTTAACTTCTTTTCGCTTATCCTATTCAATCCAATATTTGTCATCCGAGGATTTTTTTTTTTAAAATTTGAACCCGATTTACGAAAAAAGAAAAGAAAAGAGTTCAAAAATAAAAGAAAATAACACGCCAATGAAAATAATAAACTAGAATATAAATAAGGAAATGAAAATGAACAATAACCACTTTGTTTTTATCGAATTCCTGACGCACTCAATCATTCCGTTTTTTTGCACCTCTCTTCCTTGGCATTCTTTCCCTGCCTGCTTCTTCAAATCATCCTTACTCTCCCCCTTGCTCTCCAATTTTTTCCCCTTTCATTTTTGAGCAAGGGATTCTTGATCTATATCCTATAAACTAAGCTGCTATCACTGTCACCACAACTACAATCGACATCATCATTCTCTTCCTGCCAAAATTTAATACATCCTCCCAAAAAAAGAACGAAAACAGAATCATATATATATATATATATATATATATATATATATATATATATATATATATATATATATATATGCACAAACCAATAACACGGAAGAAATCATGTGTACGAATTAAATAAAGTTACGATAAAAACAAACAAGATACTCCGGAAAAAAAAGATGACGAGAAAATATTCTTTCTTTGGCATTCACCGATTCACTGGCAGATGCGTACACGGGCGATCAATAGGATCGTCACATGCATATTGGAGCACCTATCTCTTCCAATTTTGTTTTGCACACGTATACGCTGAGCCCAAAACCGAATGCACATTGAAAAGAATTTATTGACGCACGCATGTATCTACTGTGAGATCGATACAAACTCACACAAATTCCGACGAATGTGGGCGACAATTGGCGTAGTTGGTATCGTTAGCAAAAAAAAAAAGCTATTCTGAGAAAAAATTATCAAGAAGGCATGGAATCTAATCTGACCGCGTTTTTACTCATAGGTAAATATATCTGCAATGACATGACGGAGTCAAATCGATTCCGCAAAATAATGACACAAGGACGGAATGTAGTTTTCGTCAGTCCCTTGTTCAGTGTTCTTTTATGTATAACAATGACCCGTAATTCTTTTACCTTTTTTTTTAGATCAAAGAGGGGTGAATTTCAGGGTTATATGGGGTGGGGGTGCTTTTTTTCTTCTTTTTAATTTTCATAATTTCCCCTATAAAAATAATCCCTCTAATATTTGTTTAATTATTTGACATCAGGCAAGGCAAGAAAGGCGCTAAAACGAAAGGAAGATTAGTAAATCTCAGAGATTATGAGAAAATAAACTCTATTAACGAGAGAAAACAATAAATGAACAAGAATGAAGAAGACAGGATATTATGATTGGCATTGCATTTAAATTTTTAACGATCAATGTTGATTAGGGAGCAAGAAGCCGGACGGTAAATGTATATGTACTCATATGGAAAAGAATGGAGATTTTCTATAATGTTATTTGGAATTCTGCTTTCGAGTCGGACAATCTTGGAATATAGGGGAATGACATTCGGACACATGGAGGAAAGTAAAGCTACATTCGGACACATGGAGGGAAGTGAAGTTACATTCGGACACATGGAGGAAAGTGAAGTTACATTCGGACATTTGGAGGAAAGTAAAGTTAAATTCGGACACATGGAGGAAAGTAAAGTTAAATTCGGACACATGGAAGAAAGTGAAGATACATTCGGACACATGGAGGAAAGTAAAGCTACATTCGGACACATGGAGGAAAGTAAAGCTACATTCGGACACATGAAGTTATATTCGGACACATGGAGGAAAGTAAAGTTACATTCGGACACATGGAGGTGAAAATTCGGACACATGGAAAAGTGTACATTCGGACACATGGATGCCCTATTCTTTCATGACGTGGGTTATCATGTCTCTACACCACCTCCTATCCCTGGTACCACTCAGCAAAGTTTGTTCGTTTGCCATCCACTGAAATCTTCGTTCCTCTTTAAATTAAAAAAAAATAGTTATTGGCCCACTGCCTGGCGTTGTCTCTGTTGCCTTCAAATATTTCCTGTGTGTTTCAAATTCTCTAAGCTCTCCGTCCTCTTTGTGATCCAGAAATTTTAGCTCTCTCTTCTGACTGAGATTTTTGTGGTTTCATTTTTCGTAAGACTTCTTCGCTGCTTACATGCTTCTCGAATGTTATTCTCAGCATCCTCCTGTAGAATCATATTTTTCTTGCATCCATTTGTCTCTTCATCTGTGAGAGCTTGCCCAGTGTTCACTACGATGGCAGACGGACAGTTGCCTATTGGATAATTGCGTACCTCTGATAATTTTTTGAAGGTACCATTTTTATTTAAAGAGTTGTTTCAAATAGAAATTTGAACACCAATTCCTTTAATTATTCTAAACAAGTAGAAACCTAGTTACAATAAATAAAAAAGAAGAGAAAAAATTGTTTTTTTAAAGCAACGGAAATTAAACTAGCCTTTTCAGTTCACTACAGCAGTGCGTATCACAAGCATCCTATAGATTCTAGATTTTATAGATAATATTTTTTATTTGGAATCCATAGCTAAGTCCCTAAAATCAAACACTGGTGGAAAAATATTTTTGATCGAGAAAAATTACAGCTACAACTATTAAAAAAAAAGCCGATGAAAAAAAAAACATACTGGCGATGTGTAGAGGAATCTTGCAACACTGTTAATCTATCATTACATCATACTTATTATAAAACCCAAGTTGTGTGTGTCTGTGTCTGTTCGTTTGTATATTGGATCGGATTTCCTACATTTTTCAACCGATTTAAAAAAAAACTTCACAGGAGTACGTAAAATTACCTTGCTGTGATTCTGACAGTGCCCAAAATTGGAAAAACACAATTATTTTTGCAAGAAATCAATTTGAAAACACGATTAATAGGCATCGCAATCGCGAGAATGGAATGGGGACAACTCATATCGAGTTATACTTATTATAAAACCCAGGTTGTGTGTGTGTGTGTGTGTGTGTGTGTGTGTGTGTGTGTGTGTTCGTTTATATATGGGATCGGATTTCCTACATTTTTCAACCGATTCAAAAAATTTCACTTTTTTTTTGGCAGGTAGTATTTCTTATTGTCTTGCACACTTTTTCTTTATTTTTACATTCAGAATGCTTTAAAAATTCCATTTACAAGACAATTGTTTATAATAAAATTCTATTCAATCGGTAAACTCATAACGATTGAAAACAATATTTTTGTTTGAGTTTGGGTTTGACCAATTCGTAAAAAAAAAAACTAAAAAAAAACTAATTAAGACATGCGAGTTCGTCAACCTTAAACACTAATCTTTAGCAATTTTATTTTTCAGTCTTTCTGATGGTCGATACTTGATCTATCTCTTACTGTTATATAGCCGGGCAACGCCGGGCTCTACTGCTAGTTTTAAATAAAAAAATAAAACTATTAATTATTTATGTTTTATTCCTTTTTTAAATAAAAAATATGATTATTACCATATTCATTTACATTATTACGTTATCGATCTTAATTATAGTAATTGCCTTTAAAAGCTTCAAATAAGAAATAAAAAAACAAAACTTTTCTATATTTTAAAATTTTTGTAATCTTTTTTGTCTTTTTTCTCTATGTGAAAGAATATGAGAAAGAAATCATTATTACGGAGCGAGAACAATATAAGAACAGGAATTCCAAAGAGAGAACATAACGATTGACATTGCATTTAAGTTGTTAAAGTTCAAACTTGGCTCGAGCCCAATAACCCGGAAGCGAGTTCCACAAGAGAGAAGTTCGAGAGAAGAACCTGTTAGAATAGAACTTACGGTTACATCTACCCATTTCCGCTGTAAAATGATGGAATCTTGCCGTCAATCTCGTACTGTGCTTAAATTCATAAAGTCTAGCTACCACAGAGGAAAGAAAACAATGACCATCAAATTATTCATGGAAAAGCCACACATTATCATCAGTGAGAAAGTAAAGGAAACTGAGATGCCAGGATAGGACCGATAATATTGCAGATTCTTCTTTGTATTTTATCAAGAATGTCTAAATAGGCATCAATATTCAAACCATAGACAAATAGTAGACTTATCAATATGTAAGATAGACTCTGTTTAGCACAACACGGAGCCAACCTTCCTAGCAGTAGACATGGCAATTGATTCAATTCAATCTTTCCACTTTATGCCAATGAATACTTTAGCCGGGGATTTGTAATGAGTCACTGGAGGTTAGCTTTAGCCATGTCGGTAAAACACAGAATTGGATCTCTAATACGATTAATTGATTTTAAATCCTCTTTAGAAAACACATCGTATATAATATGCATCCTTAGTCGGTGGAGGTGGGGCTGATTACAAATGAAGCAGTCGATAAAGGCTTCAATAAGAGAAAAACATTTTCTGCGAGCAGGATCTTTATTGCCTCTTCTCCCTATTCCAACACACTTTTGTCAGACGACCTTATATTTTATTCAGAGCTGAAAAAGCCTAATATGAAGAAGTGAAACGCGTAGTCTAAATAGTGCTTCTAATTTTTCTCACCATTTTTCTTACATTTTTGTTACATTGAAAATGAATTATGCATAATATCGTATAACAACTAAGTAATAAAAGCACGAAAGAGTTCAATATCTATAAATACAAGGAAAAAAATGTAATCTGTCTATATTTCTGAAATGAGGTATTATGTACACTGTTTACATTATTCGGACTATTGTCCTCATCTTTGTCGCAATAATTATTACAACATTTCGGCCGTTGTACGCTCCAGCCTTTTTCAGTTGGTTGGAATGACGAACTGAACCCTTTATTTCGCTCACTGGGGTAGACTGTTCTAGTTTCACGTGCCATGTTTGATGGATGTCAGTTATCAGTTATATCCTGTTAATTTCCCTCTGAAAGTTCTCCACTGCCTTACCCGGGTATTGAAGTCACCCTCGTTGGGTCCTATCACTGGATCTAACTAACGCCTTTATACACTGAGTCATGTGTCCTCAAGGCACATGAAACTAGAACAGTCTACGAGCGAAATAAAGGTTTCAGTTCGACATTCCAACCACCTGAAGAAGGCTGGAGTGTATAACGGCAGAAACCTTTTAATAAATATGGCGACAAAGATGAGGACAATATTTCGAATAATGTAAATAGTGTAAAAAAATGTAATGTTATTAAATTTGCATCGCGGTTAATCAATGTTCAGTCCATAGAATCTCCAAGCTGTGATTTTTTTTCATCGTGGTAATAGATGAAAATGAACCCCGGTTCAACCATTCCAAGAGATATGACCAAATAATTGAAACATTCAACTCATAAGAGTTACAAATGATAAACGCTTCCATAGAATTTTTTTTTTTTGTTTGATTGTTTTGGGATTTTTTTTCTTTTTGGAGAGAAAACCTGTGTTTAAAATAATGACAACATATTCGTTTATTCCAAACGGCAAGGGATATATATATATATGTTTTATTGCCAGATTTACTAGCCATACATAGATAGTAATTAACTTATCCTGAATCTACATCATTTTACCATTAAAGTTAACTCCTCGATGCCGGTGAAAACAGTGGGAGAGAGGGTTGTTGATGAAGAGGCTAAGGAGATATCTCACGGTAAATCTGTGTACTTTATACTGTCTACTTATTCATACTGTCTACTTATATATATGTCTATTTATGTATACTGTCTACTTATATACATATATATATGTATATATATATATATATATATATATATATATATATATATGTCTATGTATACTGTCTACTTATGTATAGTCTATGTATGTATACTATCTACTTATGTATACTATCTACTTAATGTATACTGTCTATTTATGTATAATATCTACTTATGTATACTGTCTACTTATGTATACTGTCTACTTAATGTATACTGTCTACTTATGTATATGTCTACTTAATGTATACTGTCTACTTATGTATACTGTCTACATATGTATAGTGTCTGCTAATATATATATATATCTACTTATGTATACTGTCTACTTATTTTTATTTAGTTTTGTTCCGTTATTGCTCGCCCGTTCCTCCTGAGTCCAAGTAAACACTGCCGGTCCAGGGATTGAACTCAAAACCACTATGTCACCAATTTCCACTAGCCATAGTCGATGAAAGCCTTGGCCGGGTATTGTGTACATGCACTAGTGAATAGATAGTGTAGCTATTGGTAGTCTATGTTGACTTTTTGTTCGCTGTCTTTCTTATTCCAGCTATGAATACCTATGTATAGCCATTATGATCCCAAGAGGGAAAGCAGAAATGCTGTTTTCTGTTAGTTTTTATTAGATTTGCTTTGAATGACGTGAGGAATTTCGAAATGATCTGTGCCCGTGTCTCCACACCTGTGATTGTATATGCACAAAGCATTGTCTAGAATGACATTAAATAGATTGAGTGTTTCACTTCCCCTACTCCTTAAGAAGTTTCAAATGTTTTAATATTAGGTGTTTCAACAGAAATATACGAATCTCTGGACTTATATAGTTACTTTATCTAATCAAGACAGTATGTGAATTCAAATTTATGAAGGTTGTTTTTAATGGATGATAAGAGGAAGTCTCTATTGATATGCTCAAAAAACTTCGTTATAAATGTTGAAAATGAATCTGTTGGTGACCCAGAAGGATGTCTCCAATCGTTATGAAGTTGGTGAAACCTCTGATTGAAAGGGATATATGGTAATGGAGGCAGTAGCCATTTAATTGCATTATTTACATTATTTGGACTGTTATCCTCATCCTCATTGCCATATACCTAACGTTTCG